ATTGTGTGGACGGGTAATCCCCAGGAACGGCAGCGAAATTGGCGTGATTAGGCGATTAATTGCGTTAATTGGGCGGCGGGCCGCTGCGGGGTGACGGGGTGCACGCCGCGTTATTGTTACTTTGTTTCATTTCTGTGAAAAATGAACATTTTCTGCCTAACAAACATAACCCACGTGGTTTGCAACACCACGCTGCAGCCGCGGGGCTGGTCGGCTGTATATACTCCAGCACAAAGCGGTTTCACCTCGTGTGCAGCCCTGCTTTACATCACCGATTGGGGGGTGTTTCAGCATTGGGGGTTACAGTGACCTTTTCCACTGGAAAGGGGTGGCATTTGCACTGGGGAGATTTCCTTAAACTGTGGTTTGGGGCGGGGGGGCACTGTTCCGCCGTGTGCAATGACTGGAGGTATTGTGGCTCTGCGGCCATGCTTGTGGTGTGCGCTAAGCGCTGGAGATTTTGTGCGTCTCTTTTGGGTATCTGCGTACGCCCGCCGAGTGCGAAATACATTGATATTCTAATCCACACGCGTGGCCCGGTGTGCACCCCTTCCAGGTCTGGGTCCCTCGGGCCGTATTTCACTGTTTTCAACCTCTTTTACCGAGTTGCACTGCGTCTGCCGCCGTCGCTCAGCCATGCTGCTAGCGCACAGTAAAGGAAGCTGGATCGCATTGTTCTTAATGGCGTTGGGTCGTCGGTGCGCTCGGATTAGTTCTTAACTGCGCGGGGTGTCATTTTAGCTCCTAAAATGGCGAGTTTTGTTTTTCTTCGGTAGGGGGAAACTCGAAGGTTTTGTGGTTGGGCGACGAACTAAGATTTATTAAGCAGTCTTTTATTAAAAGGGGGTGTGTATTCTACAGCAGGCCCGTCAATGCGTCTGCAGCCCTCTCGATGAAGGAGGAGGAGTAATGGGTAGCCATTCGCGGTGCCACTGGGAAGTGTAGTTCTTAAGCGAACGGGCTCTTGGGAACTGTAGGAAATATCTCTTGCCATGCTGTGCCTGTGTAACTCATATTATTTGCGTTGGGGTTAACAGATGTCCTGTATGGTTTGATATAATTTAAGATGTGCCAAGCATTTCTCTGCCGCGTCCTATTTTTAATATGCGCGATAGCACTTCAATGTGAACTGAAAAGCGGAGGGAATTAAAGCGTTACAAGTATGGAGTGCCTGGTAAATTACGTTTGAATAATTTACGCGAAATACATAGATCCCCACCTGTAACGTATTGTTCTCTGCAACCCAAAGCGCGTCGCTGTTCATAAAATGTAATCCTGTGACGCTATTAAAAATGTGATGTGATCTATCGCAGAATGAACTGCTAAAATCTCTGGTCTTCTTTCTCTCAAGTCTTGAACAACCCCCCGGCGGTATAGCACTCGGTGAACGAGCTGTGTTGGCAGGTGGTCTGTGTTGCTTCACCATTCTCTAGAAACTGCAGACATCCGCAGCACATTGCTCCCAGTTTGGAAGCCACCACACCTGTGCAGAGCTGGTGTCACCTTGATGCATCCTCACAATGTTGATGCAAGTAAAACGAGGTATACAATCAGTACTCTTTTAAGTTGAGAAAAGGCCTCATTATGAATGAACATCTTGATTGCTTTCAGGAGGGAGAGCAACTGCAACAATCTAGTCTGGCTCAAGGTGTCTGCTTCTTCTGGAGCCTGATGGCCAGAGAAAGGTAGTCCCACCACACAGCTCCTGGCAGCAAACCCTTAAGAGTTTAGCCAGCAGCCATATCACGCTGAAGCTCAGCAGGTGTGAGCCTGGTCAGCACCTGAATGGGACACCTCCTGGCAAAAACTAAGGTTGCTGCTGAAGTGGTGTTAGTGGGACCAGTAGGGGGCACTCACCCTGCAGTCGGTGTGGATCCTAATGCCCAAGTATAGGAACAGGGACACTACACTGTACAAAAATGCACCGTCCTTCGAATGAGATGTAAAACTGAGGTCCTGACTCCCTGTGGTCATTAAAAATCCCAGGGTGTTTCTCAAAAAGAGTAGGGGATGTAACCCTGGTGTCCTGGCCAAATTTCCCATTGGCCCTTGCCAATCATGGCCTCTTAATAATCCCTATCACTTACTTCATTACTCTGTCATCCTCCCCACTGATAGCTGATGTGTGGTGAGCGTACTGGTGCACTATGGCTGCCGTCGCATCACCCAGGTGGGGCTGCACGCTGGTGGTGGTGGAGGGGATCCCCTTTACCTGTAAAGCGCTTCGAGAAAAGCGCTATATACGTGAATGCAATTAATATTGTTGTTTTGGCATTAATGAGTTATTCCATTGTACCGTTTTGTACCTTTGGAAATCCTGTCTGTGTGTGGCACTTGCAAGCTCTGATCCACCAGTTCAGAACCGCAACCGTTTATTTTTCTAGAGTAAAGCTGTTGTGTAATGACTCTTCTGGGCCTGTTTGGGATACCCCCGTAGGTTGTGTCTGAAAGCCGGTCTCGTTAACTGCCAGAGCAGAAACGGAAGCTAATCGCGGGGGGGATCGTTAACACTCTCGATTGTTTTTCGCGGCCCTTTTTATTTGCGTGGCAGATTTCAGGCCGACGTTCTTTGCCGCAGAAATAAGCATTTGGAAGTGACGAGGACACGCGGGGCAGAGGCGTGTGCTCTGGAGAGAGGGGGCGGGGATGCTTGCTGTCAATAAAGCCTCGCATGTGCGCGCTGGCGTTCAGCTGGCCCTCAGGCCTTTGTTTCAGCCCAACTCGTTGCAGATTGAGAGGCGCAGGTAACCGGGACGAGCCAATGTGAGCGCGTTCTTGAACTAGAGTCGGCTGCAGGGATGCTCTTATCATGGGAAGTTCTCTGGGGGCTGTGCCGTGCAGCCCAGACCCCATCCTGTCGCTAGCTGCGCAAGGGGGTGGCCTTGTGTGGATGACCGTGTTGTTGTGTGGAGTCTTGAGCACAGAAGCAGTGAGCGGCCTGGTTATCATCCATCCTTCCATGATTGCGGTGAACCAGCTGTGCAGGTGCTGATGAGGATGGCAGAGGCGTTGGGAGAATTTCTAGCGCAGCACTGAGAGAGACAGTGTGTGAGAGAGGGGCGGTGTAGCGTAGTGATTGTGGGTCTGAGTCCCTGCTGCAGACACTGCTGTTGTATCTTGAGAGAAGAACTTTGCACCAGTAGCTCCAGTCAAACCCAGCTGTGTCAGTGGGGACCAGTGTCCCATCTGGGAGGGCAGTCATGTTCTGCTCTGGTCCTCTGCAGAAACCAGGATGGGCTGCAGTGCCTGTGGTCTGGGCTCTCCTCTCCTTTATAGTTAGTGTGCAAAATAGGCTTGGTTTAAAACCGGGTTCGAGCAGGTAACGGCAGCAGTGGGTGCTGTCTGCAAAGGCACAAGGAAAGATGAGTTCCCCCAATGAAAAATACAAAGAAGAAACACTACTTCCAGGTATGAGTCACGTCTCTTGTGGAGTGGAGAGGGCTCAGCAAGGAGGAATGTTTTGTTTCTTCTTCCTAATTTTCAATGTTTTTACAATGTTAACCTTTACCTGTTGTTTTGATTTAAAACTTTCCCCCCGTTTGAGTGTCCGGGAAGCGTTTTCCGTTATTCCAAGTGGTTTAACCTCACATCTGTGTTCAGCTTATTCACATTGTCTGTGTTAGTTGACTCAGAAAGATAATTTGTTGTATTTCTTGTTAAAGGGCTTCATAATGTATGTAAGTGTTCCATATCCATTCAAGATCATTGTTACTTCTCAGATGCCAGCTACCTAAAGGGTTATCCAGTGCTTTGAATTGATCATCTCTCAAATATACTGTTATCCAATTCCATCAGTCTTGTAGGAGCCATCGCAGTTGGGAAGGTTCTGTAAATTGGCGGGAGTTAAAAAACAAAATTGGCCTAGGATATGCGTCATCACTTTCACTCTCGCAAGATGTTTTGAATATGCAAACTAAGCACTTTAAAATTGCCCGAAGAGCAGATTGTAATATGAAAATATTTTTTTTTCATAAATTCATATTGCAGTGAAAGCAACAGGTGTAGCAAAACACTGTTCAAGTGTAGAGTTACTCGCAAACTAATTGACTGTGCTTTTGGGGCCCCAAGATCTCAGAACTTAAATATAAATAATAAAACGTTTTGCATCTTGAGTGATTGGTGTGACTCTTCCCACTGTCTGCGGATTTCCTATTAGGACAACCAGCTGGAAATGGATTTCAGCATAGCACGGTAGTGACTCAGTTTATTTTAAGATATTTCTGGTTTCAATTAGAATATTGTCCCACTCGGCGATTATAAATTACAAGCCCAATAGTTAATGGCGGCCTTAGGCCTGTCAGCAACATTACTTCAAGCTACCACAAGCTGATCAAGTAGTTTGAGGACTGGGGCATTCTGTACATGTGTACAGCAGGCAAAAGGGTTCCCATCTGCTATGACAAGTGTCGCATCCGAACAGCGGACTGGGGCCTGTTCACTGGTACCCAAGGGAATGCTGGGTACAGGAAGTGGCTGTGGCAACATCTGACTTTTGCTCTGGGCTTTGGTGGTTATTTTGAGTGGGTTCAATCCCCTTTAAAGGTGTCTGAGAAAAGGAAAATCATTAAATCCTAAAAGACGATGGGCGCTAAGTTTTGAAATGACAGCGGCGATTCTAAAACTGCAGGAAAAAAAGATGAAACTCCGTCTTGCATTGGCTGGGCTTCTGGCCTTAACATTCTGACTTTTGCAACAGTTATCCAGGACAAAGAAGCACTACTGGCTGTTGGCGATGATTGCTTAAATTGGGGGGGTGGGCAAAAAGAAGTGATGCCCTTGAGAAAATGGAAAAATTTGTTGCTGACGTGGCTGGAGAATCAGAACCAGATCCTTGTTTTCGCGTCAAGAACAGCTCGAGACACGGCTGGGGTTTTGGCACTTGATTTTTACCGTCTTTTACAATGCTGCAAAACAGCCTCTAGTGTCCTGGGTGGTCCTGCCCATTGACCCTGAGTACGTCGTGGATATGTCATGTCTCCGCTCTCTCTGTGCGACTGCAGCTTGGCCAACATCCCCCTCACCCCAGAGACGCAGAGAGACCAGGAGCGCCGGATTCGCCGGGAGATCGCCAACAGCAACGAGCGCCGCCGTATGCAGAGCATCAACGCCGGGTTCCAGTCCCTCAAAACCCTCATCCCGCACACGGATGGGGAGAAGCTGAGCAAGGTGAGCTCCGGACAGCGGCCAGGCTGCGGACCGCCGGGGGATCACAGCCGTTGTTCCCTAGGAGAGGGGTCCCAGGGTAGCAGGGCTCCGGCATCGGCGCGCCCAGCGGCAGATCACGTCCAGACAGCAGTCGTCAGAGTAGGGGTTGAGTACGGGGAGCAGGGGGTGCATCCTTGCTCTGGGGAGTAGCATACTGGGGTCTTTTAAAGCGGAGCTGCAACGGTGTTTTCATATTTTGGGGTTAGAAAGCATCGGCATTGATGAGTGGATTTCAGAACGCAGTCAAATCACATGTCCACATTGTCCACTTGACAAAATAGGCAACATTTCCAGGTGTGCGCGGCGCCGTGATCTGCGATTCAGAACGAGGCGACACAACATCTTAGGAGGTGAGGCGGCCCTAGGCTGTAAACCAGCAAGCGTGTGAGGACATCTCTTTTAATCCAGTAGAAGTATTGCTCTCGACTTTGAGATGGTTTTGCCGATAAGTGGAACTTACTTGTTCACTCTGCAGGCAGATCCCGTTAGAAACTTCCTGCGGTGAAATGTCTGCTGCACAACCTGTACTTATTCGCTCGTACATCTCATGACATTAGTCATTACAGGGACTAGTGAGCGGGAAGGGCCGCAGCGCGTTACAATTCTCGTGAGCTCTCGGTCTCGCGAGACCAGGGGTTTGCGACGGCATGGCGACTTAGTTCTTTCACAAAGCTGACGCTTTTGTGCTTAATTCGAAATTTGTCATTTTATTTTCGATATCGTTCATTTCTTTTGTGACCGAGATTTAAAAACCGGTCTGAGATATTAGGACTGTGGTTCCCCTTTTAATTCAACAGAGAGTTAGGAATTCGGTTGAACATTTCATCCGGAAGGTAGCCTCTCCTTCGTGGGGCTCTGTGAAGGATGTGGGTTCAAGCCCCGGGTGAGATGCTGGTGATGCAGGGAGGTTTGTTCAGGATCCATTAATCAGGCGTCTAGCAGTGTAACCAGGTTCAAATTGTAAGTTGCTTTGGATAAAAGATTTGGCCAAAGAATCATCCATTATATAAATATGGCTTGCGTTATGATCTGAGACTAATTTAGTAGGGAGAGAGTGGAGGAAATATGTCTCCATTTCCTTAAATTATAAGAAATTTTGATTAAACTTAATATTAACTGAACTTTTTGGTGACTCTGGGATTACCTTTCCTGCCTTAAGTCAGTGTTGTGGGACTTTTCCTATCCACTGTACAGGACTAGGTTATAAAAGAGTTAAAAAAATGATGCTCTGTGATGCTCGCAGCGCGGTGGTGCTGGTTAGGGATTTCTAGTCCAGAGGGAAAGCCTGCCACCTACTGGTCAGCCAACGAACTTCAGTTGCGTCTTGCGCTTCCATTCAGCACATCCCTTTTAAAACAGCAGAAGAACGTTCCTCTCTGCGGCTGCCTGGGTGCCTGCTATGAGTTTAGAACATAATGGAAAGCGTCTGTGACTGGTTGTTTATTACTGGTCATGGTTGGTCTGAAGATCTAGCTGTGAAATAGTCCGGTGCGTTTGTTTGCTCTGTGAAAACGGGCAACTTGTTGGAAACTTCAGAATCACCGCGCAGATCTCCTTTCACACGCCGTCCAGGGCATCGAAGGGCACAGGCGCCCAGGCCTGCTCTCGTCACAGCCCAGGGTGCTGAGCTGAGTGGTTAGAGACCTGAACAGTAAGCTGTACTGCAGCAGCCCCTCTCTTCCTCTGGTTACACTGATTCGGAGCGATCCGAAGCAGGGCCGGGCGATATCCGATCTCATTGTGCTTCTGCGTTTCTTTAACGGTCCTTTTTCTTGTTAGCAGACAGACTGGGGTGGGAGAGGAGTAGGTAACTTAGATGTCTTAGTTTCACTCGGGCGCATTGCGTGGAGTCGAACAATGAGCAGTCAGTGCGCAGTGAAGACTTTGCTAGCTCTGCAGGTCGGCACTCCAGAAACCCAGTCAAGACGCTGAGAAGCCACCTTCTTTGCAGCGAACGTAAAGATGGAGCAGGTTAAGGGTCTTTCTAATTCTAGTCTCCAAATGCAGACCTCTGCGAATGCCTGTGATGTTTCTGCCAGCCTGGCGCAGAAATGATAAATGTCCTGGAAGGTGGGGGAGTGCCTCGGGGCATCGGTCAGAGTCCGCAGATGCTCAGACGACCGTCTCTTTGGCGCACAAAACTTTCCCGGACGGGCCAGGGACGCGAGGCATGTCCTCAGGCGCAACACCTGTTTTCTCTCCTGTGAAATTCTCTTTCTCCCCCTCCCCCACCCACGCCAGGCGGCCATTCTCCAGCAGACGGCAGAGTACATCTTCTCGCTGGAGCAGGAGAAGACGAGGCTGCTGCAGCAGAACACCCAACTGAAGCGCTTTATACAGGTAAGGAAGGGGCGTCCTGTGGGTCTGTTCCGGCCTAAGGAAGGGCGGCTTTCCCTGTTTCAGTGTCTTTTTTTTTCCTGAATCAGCTGCACCTGTTTCCTTTGTGCAGCCCTGTCATACGAGAGGGCCTGTTTTTCGGTAGGGGGTCCTGAAGCACAGCGATTAGAACGAGCAGCGACGTGGAGAATTCATCTCCGCTCACTTTTTTCGTGTTTGCGATTGTGGGCTTCAGGCAGCAGGGCGGCGCAGTGGTCAACATTGCTCTCTCGCAGTTTTGGGGCCCCCGGGTGCAATTCCGGACCGGGGGTGCTGTCTGTGGGGAGTTTGCACACTCCACGTGTTCAAGTGTTTTTCCTTCAGGTGCTTTGGTTTGCTCCCACAGTCCAAAGACACGCTGGCAGGTTAATTGGCTTCTGGGAAAATTGGCCTTGGCGGGAGTGTGTGCCCTGTGACGGACTGGCGTCCTGCCCAGGCTGTGTCCTGCCTCGTGCCTGTTGCTTGCTGGGATAGGCTCTGGCTCCCCCCGCGACCCCTAAATTGGAAGAACTGGTTAGAAAATGGCCGGATGGATTGTGGAGTCCGGTGTAGCGAGGGGACCCCGTGTGTAAGTCCGGGGCAGGAGTGCCAGACTTCATGCCCCACAACCTCTCGCTCCCCGGCAGGAATTCAGCGGCTCGTCGCCCAAGCGGAGACGCGCGGAGGAGAAGGACGAGGGCATCGGCTCGCCGGATATCCTGGAGGACGAGAAGGTGGAGGACCTGCGGCGGGAGATGATCGAGCTCCGCCAGCAGCTGGACAAGGAGCGCTCCGTCCGCATGATGCTGGAGGAGCAGGTGGGCAGCAGGGGGCGCTGCGTGGGGTTTGGGGGCGAAGCACAAGTTCATGTGATTCAGTTAGACAAGGGAAAGGCTTTGAAAAATAACCAGACTTGCCTCTCTACTGTCAAAGAGGCATGATATTGAAAGGCACATCTTAATCTTCACATCTCAGATCACAGCTACTAACTTCCTCAGACCAAAAAGAGGTAAAGAGTTACAGAATACAGAAACTTGTACGTCATTTCAACTTTATTTATGCGGCTTTTCTTGTTATGCTTCTATGTTTTAATGTTGCTTGCCGTCGGTGAAAATGAGCTGTGAATTGCAAGCGGTGGTTTTTGGGCTAATCTCCGACCCCAAAATTCACCTTCTGCCTCCTGGTGTTGTCTGTTCTGTAATGGGGGGGGAACCTTTAAAGCCTGCATCATGAAGGTTTAGTCAAAAGTTCACTTCATGGCCATTTTAACTGTACTGAATACCTGAATACTTTAACCCCTGTTCAGCTGTGCGTAATAGAGTGCCGAAATGTAATCAGGCCCCATAAGTTTGCATCCTTAATGGTGATTTGGCCGAACCATGCAAGTTCATTTTCTTGATTTGAATGAAGGGTAACTGCAACGCTTTTTTTCCTATTTCGGTGTTGTGTTGTGTGACCCTGTACTGCACAAACGGATTAGGAAAGGGCTCAGTCTTGTGTGATGACTCGTGGGGTTACCCCAGGATGGAGCGCCAGTGGGGTGCGGAGCCCCTGGCGGTGTGTGTCTTGACGCCGGTGCCCTTTCTCCTCCCCGCCCCCCGGCAGATGCGCTCCCTGGAGGCCCACATGTACCCGGAGAAGCTGAAGGTGATCGCGCAGCAGGTGCAGGAGCAGGAGCAGAGCCGGCTCCGCCTGCAGCAGCAGCACGATCGGCTTGAGAGAGAGCAGCAGTCCCTGCGCGGCGGCGGCGCCCAGGTCAGTTCACACCGCTGACCAGGCGAGGCCATCTGACCGCTCTTAACCAAGTGGGTGTTCAGTAGTTAGTTGTCGTCCTCCAGACGTTTCCTAAAAGAAGCCAGAGTGTCCGTCCTTAGCAAGATGGCTGGGGAAGCTTGTTCCATTCTCCCGCCGCCCTTTGTGTAAGGACCTGCCTCCTGTCCTGTGTCTTCAAACCACTGTCCCAGAATTCCCACAAGTGTCTTCTGGCTCACTGCTGATTCTCGAGAAGTCCGTGAGGTCGATTTGCTCAGTGCCCCTAGAACAGGTGTGAGCCTGACCCAGCACCTGGGTGGGAGACCTCCTGGGAAAGCTGAGGCTGCTGCTGGAAGAGGTGTTAGTGGGGCCAGCAGGGGGCGCTCACCCTGCGGTCTGTGTGGGTCCTAATGCCCCAGTATAGGGACAGGGACGCTATATTGTACAAAAAGGCGCCGTCCTTCTGATGAGACGTACAACCGAGGTCCTGGCCCGCCTGGCGTGGGGCTGACCGACCGCTCTGCTTTTGTGTGCCTCGCTCAGGTGGTGCCCCCAGCCACGACCCCCGCCCCCACCCACCACCCCACGGTCATCGTGCCTGCCCCCGCGCTGCCGCCCCTGCCCCATCACGTCACCGTGGTCACCATGGGCCCCGCCTCCGTCATCAACACAGTGTCCACGTCGCGGCAGAACCTGGACACCATCGTGCAGGTGAGGGCCGGGCCGGGCCCCCGCACAAGAGCCTTTCCTTGCTCTTCCTCGGAGCTGTGATGCAAGCTGTCGTTATCTGCTTTGTCCGTTGATTTCAGTAACCATGTGTTCCAGGTTCCAGCCTTGGACAGATGTGTGCCCTCTCTCTTCTCATTTTTGCACACGGCATGTGGATAGGCCATCGCTATGCAGAGTAGACTTGTGTTTTGCACCTCGATATTTTATGCAAGGTTGTCTAGACGTGGTTGAAAAGATACTGTAAATCAGAGCTCAAATATTGCGGGAAGTTTCACAGGTTCAAGTCTGGCGCATGCCTGACCTGCGCTTTGGGAACAGAGCTCGTAGCATGCTGGTGCTTTCTTTATCGTGTGGTATCACCCCCAATATGGCTCGAAAACAAGCAGGAAGGTGAGATAAGTCAAAAAAAAAAGTAAGGTTGTATCACTGATTTCATAGGACCAGGTAGGGGTTTATTCCATGTTGAAACAAAGGGAGACACAATGATTCGACTGGCTTCAGGCACGTTGTGTCACTTGTCTTCTCAGCGTGGAATAAACCTTTACTTGTTCCTTTGCAGCCTGCGCATGCTGACATAGCCACCTATGTGAACTTCTTTCTGATTTCACAATACCTTAAACTACATACACACACCGCCACAGTTGATTTCACGTGTTTTATGGGAGGACAATAGGAGTGTCTAAGGGGAGTGTTCTGATTACATGCTATTTTGGGTATTCTAGGTGTCCTAGTATTCTAGGTGCTTATTAGTTCAGGTGGGGAGCTGCGTCAACATGCGTAGGCTGCAAAGGAACAAGTAATAGGTTTATTCCATGCTGGGGAAAAAAAAATCAGCATGGAATAAACCTATTACTTGTTCCTAGGTGCTTAGTTGTATTAATGGCTGTGGTGCCAAATGCCTTCTGTGTGGATGCTTGAGACAGCTTCATACAGTACATCAGTCTGGTTCGTGGAGATTCTGCTGTGTGACCATTTCAGCAGAGTCCCTTTTGCTTCATTAGTATTGTGGATTGATGCATAAATGAAGGGTGACCTACTGGGGAAAAGCAACATGTTAAATTCTGGGCTTTTACAGAAAAACGCCCCCTTCCTCTTCACTGGGGCAAAGAGCTTTGTTGTCCCGAGCATGCGTTAAGGACAGCAAGACTGAATTAGGATCCTGTGTCAATAAGTAAATTGCTGGGACAGTAGGGCACAGCTAGGTCACTCAAGGACACTGAGCATTGCTGACCAGCACAATAAATCTTCCCCTGCTTGGGACATCTGATAGCAGTGGAAGGTGATTTTTTTGCATACCGTTTGGGTTTTGAGCTGGGTAAATGTTTTTTTTTTTAAACAAGGCTAGGCAAATCCAAATGCAGGCTTTGGTAAATATTGTTTTTCCAGCGGTACTTCGTAGGTGCTCTGTCAGCGTCCGTTTTTACTGACTTTTCTTGTAGGAAGAAGCTCCTATGCAGAAACGTTGATATTCCTGTTGAGCAGGGCTCCTTGGTTTTGCTGTCGCTGAGGGTTTTGAAGCTGGCCAAAGGCCTCTGCAGTCTTGAGAGTTTAGAAGCTGGTGAATTAGACCTCTTTAGAGACTTGGAGACTCCTGGATTTGCTGTCGCAGAACATTTTTTCCCGTTGTGACGTATAGGATCCACGCCACATCCTTGAAAACTGTACACGCCGTTTTCTGGAATGGAGCGCAGAGAGAAAAAAGGCAATATTCTTGGAATGTCGCACAGAAAGTTAAAACCAACCAAGTGATTGTGATTGGTGCTGTAGAAGAAAGTGTAAAATTGTCCTCTACGCACTTGTGATTTTTCTGTAGGTGTGTAAAGAAGCATGCTGGAAGGACGATAAAAGGCTGATGTTTTAGCAGTAATGTGGGTTTAGTGGGTGTAAGTAGTACGTTTAAGGGTGAAAGTCTCTAATTGAACCAGCGGCATGTGGTTCATTCTGCGGTAACTGGGAGTTTTGTATGTTGCAGTCTGTGAGCATATGGCTCTGAAACAACTGGAAAGTGGTGCTAATCTTTAGGGATAATGAATAGATTCAGACATGTCGAATTTAATTCATTCTTCCTGTGCTCTTATCTGAGTGATGGGGCTGATCTGATCTGATCTGGGGGTGTTCGTTAAATGAGAAAGTTGGGGTTCTTCAGAAAGCTGGTTGGCAGCTCTGTGACCCCCCCTCCCCCTCCCCGTCCCCGTTGTCTCGCCAGGCCATCCAGCACATCGAGGGCACGCAGGAGAAGGCCGGCACGGACGAGGAGCAGCGACGCGCCGTGATCGTCACGCCCGGCCGCACCTTCCCAGACACCCCCGACTCGGACACGGCCTCGGACAGCGAGGGGGGAGCAGGGGACGGAGAGCTGCCCTGATCCGGAGGGAGGGGAGGGGTGGGGGTGGGTAGAGGAAAGATCGTCCCGCGGACCCCTCGCATCTTCCTACACACACACACACACACACCCCCCGCGCGGATCCGCGCACACACTCACACTCTCGCTCACCGCTGCTCCGCTCTTCTGGGGACAGCGCGATAAGTCCGGAGCCTCGGCTCGAGCTGAAACACAGCTGGCCCTCCACTTTTGATACTGTACAGCTTAAGAGGAAAACTCAGTAGGCCACTAACCCCCCTCCCCCCCCTCACCCTCGCCGCCTCCCTCGCAGTTTCCTTTTATTTTTGAATTTCGAGACGTCCAAAGGTGGCTACGTGCAGCTTGACACTGTGAGAATTTTAAATCATTTTTTTTTTACCGAAAAAAGTTTCTGTCCCCCTCCCCCCCACCGACCTTGAGCTTTAAGCTTTGGACAGAGGAAGGGTCCCCCCTTTGAAACAGCATCGCCTTTCGACCTCGGCCTCCTCTGCGCCCGTCTCGCCACGAAGCATTTTCCAATTTTCACTGCCAGCAGCCGACGCCTGTCTTGGGGGCTTTCCTCATCGGAAAATCGCCCGGAGCGGGAGGCAAAAGAAAAAGAGAACGCGAAAAAAATCTCGAGAGTTTGATCAGCAGAGATATAAAGACTGCCAAAGAGTCTGCCTTCGATGGGCGCTTCTGAAGAGTTCTCTCAGATACAGTATCCAGTTTTCCCCTTTGGGGAAAGCAAGAACAGACACACTTCAGAGTTTGCCCACAGTGAGAAGCGTTGCATAGATATCCGTTGGCCTTCAGTGCTTCGACTGGCTCCACCTTCACCTCCACGTGTTTCTCTGAGCAATATTCCGGAAGTGTCCACATAAAACAATATAACCTTCTTGTAGCTTCCGTTAGCTGACAGGAATCTGCATCCAGTACATGTCTGAAACTCTTCCCTGTCCTAATACCCAGCAGCTAGCAGCTTCTTTTTTTTTCTGTGCTGTAAAAGTGAGCGACAGTCCTTAACCAGCCCCCGAAATCTGGGATGCACTTCGTAACAAGGCAGCTCTTGCCGGACTGGACGCGCACTTATCTTTCCTGTGGGGAAAAGCCCCTCCCGCCCAAAAGACTGTAACCTACCCAGGATTCCCACTGCACCGTGTATAGTTTACATTTCTGACGCTGTAACATTTTCTGTTAGCAAAACGGTTGAGAACCGTGGGGCTGCTCCATGCCAGTCGCGGTGGAATCCACTTTTGATTTTTTTTGTCTTCGTTTTTTGTCGTCATAGAAAGAGTCGATGTCACAATGAATAAGCTATCCTACAGCCGTGAGGCTTCATGAAGCTGCGCGATGCCAGTGGGGCAATTTTTAGGGTTGAGAGGGGCGCGTGTTTCCCAGCAGATCTGTAAACGCCGGTCCCTGGCATCTGTACGTGTTTGTGTATATATATATACGCACTCAGGCACCGTGTTTTGCAGACCCCCCGGCCTGAGTCGAGTCCGTCGCTGATGCCCGTGTGTCGGTGGATCTGATCTATGCATGCTCACACGCACAATCATCGCTTAAAAAATCCACCCTCCTGGGGTTCTCACAGCTGTGCCGTCGCCTCTGCACCCTGGGGCGAGAGAAAACGCGCCCGCCTGCCGCGGACTGCCCAGCCTCTCCCTTTGTCCGGAAGTGGCTGGAGATTCCGTTTGACCTCGGGATTTTTCCCCTGAGCACATCTCCCCCCCCACCCTTAAAAAAGTTCCATAACTGGTCCCTTTGATATATCACGTGCGGCTACTCAGAAAGTGACACGGTTCTTGTAACATGAGTGCGTTAGTGTGTGGTTGTTATGTATCGTTGTCTTTCTCTTGACAAACAACTGGAATCCTAGTGTGGCAATCCCTCCATTCGTGCTGGTCGTCAGGTCACATGCTCCTGCTCAGCAACTTGGAGTGGTGCTGCTATAAGCAACCCAATGTAGATTTATTTCTTTTTCTTAAATGTAAATATGCTGGCATATATGGTCTGTTTAACAGTGGTCATTGGGTGCGTATATATAGATACAGTTTCCCCTGTCCCTTGTTGGATCTGTTCATTCCCATCAGTCTCATGCCTGAGGCCCTAAACTCGAGGTTTGTTGGAATATAAAATCTTGATGTCAGACCCGAGCTAAATGAGATTCAGAGAATTGGTCTGCAAACGTACTGACACGCAACATTTGGCTGTCCGGGAAGACAAACTGGGCTAATTGTTGATGACTGTTTTCAAGAAGAGGCATGGTTGGGTTTTTTTTTTATTATCTTGTCATTTGCAGAGCTCTGCTACATTCATTCCTGCTTAATTTCCTTTAGTTCTCCCCCAGCCTTTCGGGAAAACAGGGACTGCAAGGAAATGAAAACACGTAAATGTTAATTGAAAGATGATGATATAATTTTCCAAGCTCAATGCTTAACACAAACAGCATTGAGCACAAACAGATGCTTGGGGAGGTTTTGTTGTGTTCCATGCATGCAAGTTGGAGAACATCTCTGATTCCACTGCCTGAGTGTTTTCTTTCTCTGTTTCATAATTTTGTACAAATGATCTGTGGAATTCCGAAATTGTGCTTTGCACAAAAGTACAGAGGAGAGCATAAGTCTCTTTACCAACAGTCAATGTTTTGTCAAACAGAAACCAGTGAGAAAGACCTGCCACCTATGGCAGGGAGTCTTAAAGAGTCTGTACTCTCCTTGCCACCTGACAGCAGCCCTGCAGGACAGAAAATCAGCTTGCCTAAAGCAGGCGTAATCGAGCTTGCCTTAATGGTCTCCTGGTCCTGGAAGACCAGTGTCTCTGCTGTTGTTTTTGTCCCAACTGGGCCCTTAATCACCATATGTGATGGATTCCTGTGACTGATCGGCTTGCCGTTTTAGACTTTTTTTTTTCTGAACTCAGACCTTGAGAACTGTATTGGCAGGACTTATAAGATCCTGCAGGTGTTCTTCAGCTCGTTCCTGCTGAAGGTACCTTCGCAAATACCTTCAAGGTGTGTTATTCCACTCCCAAAACACTCTGCAGTCGGTTCTCAGCTTGCTCATTAAGAATTTGCCCCCTTATTTCTGACTGAACTGCTCTAGGTAGGTGATCGATTGATGATGAGCAAAGCTGGGGGTGACATTGTATCGGACAAATCTTTCAGTGAGTCACTGGTTTTCCTTCTGCCCAAGTCCGTTTGGTTAAATTTCAGCTAGCAGACCGGAATGATCACAATCCAGAAACTCACAAACATTAGCGCCGTACCAAATCTCACTCAGCTTTTTAAGCTGTGAAAGGAAATTTCAGTCTCAAATAGCAAATTGAAATCCATGAGCCTGTGATTAATATCCCGGTTGGATCAAAACTCGGTAGATGCAGGGGTCCAATTGGACTATGGGTAATCCATGCTGAGGAGACATTACTGATTTCTTGGGAGTAAACGAGCAAAAAAAGTATTGCCGTTTACATGGATAATGTAGGACTGAACTGTTTGTAAACATTCCTCCAGAGCTCTTCGACACATTGCAGTCCTCGAATTTTTGTATAGCGCTTATCGGACAGTTTGGGGGTTAAGTCTTTGTTTTCTGAGCGAGTTTGCTACAGGTACAATGAGGCCTGCCTCTGGTCTTGTAGTACTTGGGGTTTGAGTGTGACCATGGGCAAAGTCCACTCACCTGTTGCAGTGGGTGACAGGTGGTATTTAAGTGGTCTCATTCATCGTCCCTCACTGCTGTTACAAGGAAACGAGGTGGGAAAGTGAGGTGAATGACAGACCCCGACATTCCTGAAAAGTATCTCTGAAACGTTTGTCTAAACAACTAGATTTGATTTTGTTTTTAGAATTACGAAGAGGTCCTCCTTTGTGCCAAGTTGGTGTGTAGTATGTGCAGACTTGTCTGACTTGGTAACAGGTTAGTGGGCGTGGAGTTTGAACATACTAGTGAGCAATAAACTGACTGGGAACAATTTGCCTCTTCTTGAAACAGTGAACCCCCCCCAGTGACTAACCGTGGACCAACCAGTTTCAGGCCCACCTGTAAAGCTCACGGCAAATTCTCTGGGCCGGTTCTGTTAGATGTGAGCGGGTCTGACAGCGAGAATATTCCTCAGACCATGATGTTGACTGTGATCACGATTCCGTGGAGCTGAAAGGAATTCTCTTTCCAATCAGGGCAGAGGGAGGGAATGAAGACCATGTCCTTCGTCTTTACAAAGTCTTCTGTGTATAGCAGTAGGTGGACACCCCAGGGTCACTGAGAGTCAGTGCTGTGCTTTTTGTGCATCTTGTTTAATTGCCTTATTTGCTGAAATAAGGAAGCGGTGCTTAATTTGTCCCATTTAGCTTAAAGGTCCAATTGATTATTTTGAGAAATTGCGAGCTCTCGGATTAATCGCTCCAGATGTGTTTGAGGGGCACGGTTTCCCCACCAACAGTACAGAACATTTCCCCTGCCGAACCCGAGAGGTTCAACTCTTTTTATTATTTTTTTTAAGGATTGAGGATAGCAAAAACATATCAAAGGCTGGTGAAAGAAACATTGGCAATGAATTATGACTTTGAAGCACTTATACTGGAGGAATATTTTTCTAATTGAAATAGTAGTTGCTAAAGCGCTTGTTGCTGTGAGTTAAAGCCCAGTGGGTGAGTCCCCAGCCCTTGATCCTGTATCATTCTGTCTGAAAGGCTCACTTGTATAGCGTCTCTCTCTGTTTTTCCAGTCCTGCTCTCCCCCACCCCCGACGTTAATTACAGAACCTTTTTTTAAAAAAAAAACAACGAATCTCATTTTGGTTTTTGTTCTTTTTTTTTTGTTTGTCAAATGGAATTAAATCCATGTGGTCGTTGAGAAGCTATTATATTTTGTTTAAAAAAAAAACCTGGGAAAAAAAAAGAGGCACGTGCCTTTGTAAAGAAAGATAATAAAGTTTGTACTTTGTTTTTTAGACATTTGTGGTTCTTGGGTGTTTTGCTTTTCGCGTTTGGGTTTTCTGTCTCTGAGTGCTTGCTGTGACTGACAGTGCCAGTTTCATGTACCCAGCCCCAAGACTGGCACAAAACAGTCACATGCAGTATCCTTCAGCTGCTCACAATTAGATTTCTACATGGGAACACCCCTCTATCCGATTTCTGCTTCTGCCAATTCAGGGTCTCCAGGGAGCCTGTGCCTATCCCATCAAGCAATGGGCTCAAGGCAGGGTATACCCTGGACAGGACGTCAGTCCATCACGGCACACACGGGCACAAACACACTCACACCATAGCCAGACTTCCCAGAAGCCAATTAACCTACCAGTATGTTTTTGGAAACCGGAGCACCTGGGGGAAACCCACATGAACATGGCGGGAACATGCAGACTCCACGCAGACAGCGCTCCAGCTCCGGAAATGAACCCAGGGCCCCAGAGAGAAAGGGCAGCTGCCCACTCAACCGAAATATTTTAAAATGCTTGTCATGTGATGTTTCCTTCCCAGGAGCCTTTGCGTTTGCCACAGTGAGTCCTATTTGGGGTGGCTAACAGCCGACCACAGTGCATAACATCAACAAGTGAGTATGCATGAGACATGGGATTCCATCACATTTTAGGTATTAGGTAAGTATTGGGACAAATTAACTTAAAAGTAATTTAAAATAGTATAAAGCTTATTATTTGGTTGCAAATACTTTGCATGCAAAAATCTGTACCACTGTGATGCCATTCAAATTCTTGGTTTGCTCTCTTAAGATGCTTTGCCAAGCCTTGGCTGAAGTCTGTTTCAGTTGTGTGATTTGGGGGACTGACTTCAGTGAAATGAATGCTCCATTGGATTGAAATCAGGAGATCGACTTGGTCAGCCTAAGACTTTTTTCCCCCCGATGAGCTCCTTGGTTGCATTAGAAGTATGTTTTGGGTCATTGTGCTGCATGATGAAGCGCAGGTCCATGAGCCTGAAGGCATTTTCTTGCACAGAGGCAGACAGGATGTTTCTGCACACCTTCACAATCGTTAGTTACTGTGCATCATCAGTAGAGAGCAGTGAGCCAGTTCCAGGGGCAGCTATGTGTGCCCAAGCCATGATGCTCCCTCCACCGCGATTCACAGATGGAGCTTTGGATTGTCTGCAGTTTCTTTTCTCCACACTTTCACCTCTCCATCACTCTGGAAGAGGTTGGTCTCAGCTCATCTGTCCAACACTTCAGTCCAGAACTCCACTGGCTCATCTTTGTACTTTTAAGCATATTGTAATCTGGCCTTTCTATTTTTGGTCCTGATGAGAGGTTTGCATCTTGCAATCTAGCCCTTATGGCTCTGCTGTTGAAGTCTTCTGCAAACAGTCGATTGTGATTCCTTCACCCCTGCACTGTGACAGCGGTTGTAGGGCTTTTCTTTACAGCTCAGATCATCAGCTGTCAGCCTGGCTGTTGCCCGTTGCTAGGTAAGGCGTTTAGTTGTTTCATCATTTTGCTGTCCCCAGCTTCTGTGCGAGGGTTCTGATCGAATTCTTCTTTCAGCCTCCACATGGCTTGCTTTTCTTTCCTACAGTTCCCTAGTCTTCATGCTGGTTTCGCCCTACTGTCTCCAGAAGCAGACTGGAAAGGGAAGGGCAAAGGCTCAGTCCAGTACTCCATTCACAACTCTTTCCTGTGAGCACTATCAATGCAATGGGCAACACCTGACCAAGAAGAAACACCGTGGAGCCACTACCTAGGCTCGACTGAAATGACTTTGAACACACAAGGTGCTGTTATTCTACAGCATATACGCACCGAAAAACCCAGACATCAAAAGTGACATCCTGTACTTTTGCCTCATGTTCATCTTCATCTCCATTCCAAATTGCTTTAGTATACAGCAAGTATTGACTGTCCCAATATTCATGGAGGGCATCGTATTTGCTCCGGGATCATCTGTCATTTAGAAAGAGCCTTCTTGAGTCTTTCAAAAAATGTGTTTTTTTAGGATATCCTTTTCCATTATCCACAAAGTCCCATGGAGATTTTCTTTTTCTTTTTCCCCCTGGAGATGTTATTTTCCTGAAGCACCTGCAGTGACTTCAGCAGCTTGCATCTGCTGGAGTTTGAATTTACCGCTGCTGCATTTTGAGACGTTGCTCGTTCTCTGATTAATCAGAAATCCACACTGCTGGGCTTTTTCGGATGGTAGAATTCCTTCCACCTCATGACTTGTTGAATGATGTTAGACAACTCTGACTGTAAGAAAGGGGTGGCATAGACTCGGGCAGTCTTCCCCAGTAGGGGGCAGTGCAGTTTAGGATCAGACATCTTGATCTGTAAGATCAAGGACCAGGCCAGTTAGTAGAAACAATGTATGTTTCTTTTATTATTTTTTTGAGTCTAAAATGCATTTTTAGCTTTGTGGGTGCAATTTTTCTAAATTTCAATTGAATTGAATTTTTTTAATTATTTAAATTTCAAATAATTTGTAAGCACAAGCAACTTCTTAGACTCCATTAATTGACAAGTATCTAAGCACATAAAACAGTCGATTTTGTTTCTTTACCATCAGAGTAATCACACACAAGAGGTGTAAGAGGATATGGTTTCTTTTTCATATATATTTAATTTGAAAATCTGAATTACAGATTCAACACACATCTGCAAAACAGTAAAGCCAAGTGAAGCTAACTTTCCAGTTTGTGAAAATGTGAGTTTAACACATTCAGTATGCTGTCTGCAATATTAGAATTCAACATAGTAAACATTGATTTCATTATCCCAAATATTAATCTGTGAACCGCAAATGTAGATTAACTGCTGTCCACTCTTTTGGAGGAGTGACCCCAATTTAGTCTCAGACACTGTAGGATCAACTCTAATGTCATCCATAGCCACAGCTGAAAATCCTAATATAAATTCCACCTATAAATATAACCTGTAAACTGGGCTATGTTGAGGTATTTGTTAAATTAAAAGTGAAACCTAGCTATCCATCTCTACCTACTAATCTACCTTCTACTACTTTGTGAACACTCCCATTTTGAGGTTACCTAATTCTTTAGGATTTTCCTAACTGGAATAATACCAGCTAAACCCCATCGTATTCCCAAGATGGGCAAAGCAACGCTTTTGTTAGGTGCCGTTCTTTTTCTGACTTTTCTAATTTTAGATTTTATGTGGTATAAATCACACGCCTCCAATTTTTTTTACAAATTTCAAAATGTAAAAGACAAAAAGTGGGGAAACAAGATTGAAAGGTGAGTTTAGAGAAGGAATTAAGGTTTGGGCTACACGTCAACATCTCATATCAGTTTCATTTCAACTGAATGTATTTAGAAGGTTTGAGTTGTAGGTGTTGGAGGCACGGTGGCGCAGTGTTTAGCATTGCGGCCTCGCAGCGCTGGGGCCCTGGGTTTGTCTGTGTGGAGTTTGTACGTTCTCCCCATGTTCATGTGGGTTTCTTCCCACAGTCCAAACACACACTCTCAAGGTGGTTTCTGGGAAAAGCAGCCCAGATTGTGATTGTGATTGTGTGTGTGTGTCTGTATCTGTATCTGAATCCCTGCCTTGCTGGGATAGACTCCGCCCCCCCGTGACCCTGAATTGGATAAAGCAGTTCGAACAGCAGGCTGGTTCAGCGCGAAGCTTGCTGTGAGGCACTGTGGGATTGTTGGGTGTGATGAAAGACAACACCTGTTTTTGTGTGAACAATATTCTGCAAACGGTCTGCCTAAATAGGGGAGGGAGAGAGGAGTCAACAACCTCAGAAACAACACAAATGTTCATTACACCAATGCTTACTGATTTGATGATTTGCATTTTTTCCTCTTCAGTTAAACGACACTTGCAATGTCTGGTGAAATACATACGCTCTTAAACGCAGACAGATGTGAAGAGATGCTAAAAATTTTACAAATGAGAAGAGACCATTATAGCTTGTTTGCTAACGGTTGCTTGGACAGAGGATCTTATACAGCTGAGAACTGGATAAAGCCAAGAACAGGATGTACTTCTTTACACAAAGGGTGGTGGGAGCATGGAACAAGCTCTCCAGTCATACTGTTGAAGATGGATCTCTGGATTCTTTCAAAAAACAGCTAGATAAAATCCTTGGATTAGTTAGATATGAACTACTAAATGGGCAAGACTGGCAAAACTCCTTCCTCTCATTTGTACCTTTTCTTATGCTTATGTTGCGTGTACTGTATTTCGGGAATTGCATACTCTTTTGCAGAGGGCTCGACAGTTTTTACTCCATTGGAAAAAACTTGCTGCCCCCAAGAAAGGACCATCTGAAATTCCCGCTTTCTGTCGATGATCTTTAGGAATCCTCCAGTGAGCGAGTGTGCGAAAGAGGTTTCCTTGCGGTGGTAAGGAGGTGAGAAAGATGAGCTTCTCCCAAGTGACAGGCTGCCGGACATCCCGAGGGAATTGGGTTCCCCCTGTGAAAATAGCACAATATCTGGCCTGAATCTGAGCCCCCTGTGGGTTAGAGGTTACCAAGCGCAGTTAAATTTAACCTGCAACTCGAGCCAGGCTGTAACTGGAGACGTCTTCTGAACTGCCCTGTTTCTAGAGCCAAAACAGCGTCATTCAGAGAGCCTGGCTTCTCTGCTGACCCGCCTGTTTCAGAGTCACACCTGTAAGGCACCTTCATGCCACCAGGAGGTATATAGGATTAATCCATAGTACAAAAACACCTCCAAGATTGCACCCACACGTTGTAATGAATGCATTTGAATTGATGTTGCTATGGAACAGTGGAACTCTTCCCACTGTTTGAGACTGATGGGAAAGTTGGCATGTAATTATATATCAGTCTCACTTCACCTGGCTTGGAGTGTAGATCAGTAATTGCATTGTGTCTGTGACATAATAAGAAAGTGGTTTAAAGAACAGAATAGAATGTTGTGTTCATAATATAACCCAAACTATGTGAACGACTGTGCGGTTTCCCCTTTAACCACCAACAACGGTGATGATATTTCACACCTCTTCATTTGTAATACAGATCTACACTCTCTTTAGGAAATATTGCATTTTAAATGCAGAATTAATATTCTTAGGCTATCATAGCATTAGAATAACTCACTCGGCCACTATTTGGCAACAATTGTGCAGTATCACTACCACAGTGCTTAAGCCACATTGTGACCTCAGGTACCCACAAACTGATCTTAGACTCCACTTTCTCGCTCACATTTGTGCCTCTCTGGTGAATTTTGTTCTGCTGATTATTGTTTAATAGTCTCTTCATTCTATCTCGTTAAGGTATAGTGTGGATATTACAGAGGAACATAGGGCATTTATAAGAAGAGAACAGAAGCCATCGGACGGCGACGAATACCCGCCAGTCGGTGTCATAACGATCATCCTCTATCGTTTGTTTTCAGGGCTCAGGTGTCACAGAGTGAACTAATGGCAGTGGGGGGGGGGTGGTGTATCGGGTATCATGGCTGTTCAGCTGCATCGGTGAGCCAGTGACACCCTAGGCTGATGCGGTTTCATTTCTTCTCCTCTACGTTTCTTGCCCAGGTCAAAGGCTCTCCCAGCCTGACAGTTCCTCCGGACCGTTACCACACCGTTCGGGGGTGACTCTGGGGGTGCCTGACCCCGAGGTGATGGAATACGGCCAGGATGCGACGGAACAGTGCATTGCGGCACCTGGCCACCTGCGTACAGCCCGGGTCCCGAACGACCTCTGGGCAGCTGGATCTGCCCGCGCCCCAAGCCCGGCAGGGAAGTCCTGCCACCCCCGGGGGATCAGTCAAGAGCCCTCGTTAAAAAAGCCCCAGTCAGGGCAGGACTGACACTTTTGGAAGCAGGGAGGTTTACAGATTACAGCACGGGACCAGGCACGGTGCAGGGAGAAGGAATCCCCATCATCGTCTTCCTCCATCCCTACTTCACATTGGATTCGGAGAAATCGGAGCCGGGGTGGGAGCAGGAGAGACCCACGTTGCCCAGGACCGCAAAAGATTCCCAATAACCACACCGAGACAGAACTGGACTGCTGGACTGCATTATTTTGGGACATTTGCTGGGTAACTGGGGTCCAACGGGGTGCCTGTGGCTGGTGTGGAATGTGTGTCCTTTGCGGCCGGTATTGTATAATGTGTCCTGGGTGTTGAGCAGACAGTGTCAACTGTTCTGATCACAAGAAAATAAAAAGGACACTTAAACAATGCTAGTGTCTGCTGCTGGTCTCCGCATACACTGGGGAATCTGGGAGAGGAGTAGAACCTCCCAGAATATATAGGCAAGTATATAGGGTTCCTAGCACTGTTTATAATTGCTAGGAAGTGTATTTGTTCACAAAGCAAGAATAATTCCGGTTGGAGGGGTCATCTATCCACGACAGTGACATCCGCGACAACAACTTCTCGTGAGGTTTTTTTTTTTCAGACTTTGGCAGGTCCAACTTTAAAGTGTGGACAATTAAAGGGAGCAACATTCCGAAAAGGAAGGGGATTTTCTGGTCAATCCGTATCATTGGGTAGGTATAAAATACAAATTCAGAAAAGGGCCAGACGGACACTGTCAGGACAATGGCTTCATCTCAAAAATCGTATTTTCGAATTTAATCGTGAATTATCCTCAACTACAACCGAGTGAGCATCTATGTATAGATTAACATGATATATTCAACTAGAATTGTGTTTAAAAAATTGAATGCAATATGGTGTAGTCTACTACACGTTGTCTAATTACTGCAATAAATATTGGAATTACTGTATATTATTGCTTTACATTTGTTTCCCTTTCAGTTGTCAAGCAAAGATGGTTAGAGCTCAGTGTTCAGTGTGCTCAGGCGCATCGAAGGCAGCAGAGCCTGACACCTGTGTTGTAGATAATGAATAATCAGTTTTAACTGCAGGGGGCTGTTCTTCTGTTGTCTTTGCCCAGGATCCAGGTTGATTAATTATAGTTGAGCAAATCGCAGAGGCAGGATGTTTACAGTAATCCCTCTCCCCCCCCTTCTTATTTCTTGTGCTTCCTTGTTGAAGTCAGAGTAAGCTCATCAGGAGGATGTTATTTTTGTAGATTTTGGTTGAAGTCTGCTCCATGCCTTGTTCCGCAGCTGGAGGGCTCCGTTTAGAAGATGGCCTTTCACAGGACAGCCCCGGTTTGGCTCTATGGCCAACAGCTACTGGTGCCAGTTAAGGTGGATAACTTAAAACTTCTTTGAATCCTCCCCCAGTTTGGGATTGTTAATCATTTAACAGTATAGTTCTAGTGCTACAATACTACTAGCAAGGCAAGAATCAAAGACTATATGTGGGCATATAGTTCTTAAAAAGTATTTTCTTTCTCGCGATGTGTCTTTCAGCAGTATGTCAGTTTTATGTCTCGTTACGGGAGTCTGGAACAAGCAACCCAGCCACCCCGTGGAAGCCGACACCCTTCAACAAACCTAAGAGGAATGGCCTCCTCTTAATCTGAGCCTCTCTTGTATGTGTTAACAAAAGCTCCCCGACTATCAGCTGTAAGGCGAGCTCCTCACTTTCGAAAGTGGGCGGCCGAGTGAGAGGGCGGCCCCTGCAGGACCTGTCAGCGCCTCCAGAGAGCTCCATCTTTCATTCGGTACCAGGACTCTCCTGAGGGGCTGTTTCTCCTCACATGGTGGCTGACTGCTGCAAATGACGAGGTGATCAGTGATTGGCCAGCAGCCATATCACCCTGCAACTCACCGCTGCCAGCCCTCTGAAGCTCAGCAGGTGGGAGCCTGGCCGGTACCTGGATGGGAGACCTCCTGGGAAAACTAAGGTTGCTGCTGGAAGAGGTGTTAGTGGGGCCAGTAGGGAGCGCTCACCCTGCGGTCTGTGTGGGTCCTAATGCCCCAGTATAGTGACGGGGACACTATACTGTAAAAAGGCGCCTTCCTTCCTGACTCTCTGTGGTCATTAAAAATCCCAGGGCATTTCTCAAAAAGAGTAGGGGTGTAACCCTGGCGTCCTGGCCAAATTGCCCTTACCAATAATGGCCTCATTATAATCCCCGTCTATGAACTGGCTTTATCACTCTGTTCTCCTCCCAACTGAGAGCTGGTGTGTGGTGAGCATTCTGGCGCACTATGGCTGCCGTCGCATCATCCAGGTGAGGCTGCACATCTGCGGTGGTGGAGGGGAGTCCCCATTACCCGTAAAGAGCTTTGAGTGGAGTGTCCAGAAAAGCGCTATATAAGTGTAAACAATTATTATTATTAAATACAAAAAGAATGAAGTCAATCATATACAGTAAGGAAAGCACAAGCTCTGCAACAGGCAGAGATAAAATGAAACACTGTGCCACTTCAAGCATCCCCGTCTTCAATAATGATATAATGCCATGCTCAGTGTGTTTGGGTGAAAATAACAGTCACCTGAGATCAGATTCTAGTACGAAGCTTGGGGTTTTGTAGGTCTTTCTTATTCACTATACAGTCCTTCTGTCTAGAAGGCAGAGTTCTTCTGGAGAGGTAGAGTGCAAAGTAAGCCTATCGGTCTGTTAATTCATATTATTAAATGTCTGCTTTTGAGGAAAATGAACTATATGGATCAATATTTGGATATTGCTTGACATCATTGTGATTAATTGATCAGTCTTGACTGATCTGATAGATGTGTGTTGCAGAAGCACTAATCATCAGTGAGAGATTTGATTGCCCAAAGGTAATGAGGTGATTTAACCTGTTTCATGTCCTGTCTGGTAAAACCCACAAAAGAACATCATAGAACTAATCACTGGTTCTAATTTAAGGCGACATCGACATTAGTGACAGGATCAGGTTACGAAGGCAGGTTATTTTCTGACAGTGTGTGCCTGATAAGAGGTTAACGCTATTAATTCACGATGGATTGTAATTTTCCCATTATAATTAAAAGGCACTGAAATCATGTGTAAATTGGAGGTAAAGGAACGGTAAGAAAATTGAACACGCTCGTTTCCATTTTGAAGTGGCCTGTCAGTTTAATGTAAAAGGGGATTATGGGGGAGAATATAATCTCACCCCAATGCTAATACAGCATATGCAAACTGGTAGGTCCAGTAAGGCCAGTGGTGTAGTCGTGCTCTTCCTCGCCAAGGAGGTGATGAGTCAGTGATCCCACCGCGTTTCCGGAGGAAATGGACCCTGATCTGGCCCTGATTCTTATCCGGGCTGTGTGGAAGAAATGTCGATGATGGGGTGCAGTGTATTCCAGCAAGTGGGAGAAAAACAAAACTGAAAATAAGCCTGTCAAACGCAGGCAGTAGACCTGAACCGTATTCATACTCTCGATGCACTGGCAGTGAGGATCCTGGCAGGAAGAGGATCAGCTCATCCATTCCCCTGGATTGTATCGGGAGTGCAGATGGATTTAGAACCAACTGCACGAGCCGCTCGCTATCGTGCTCTCTGAGTGCTCTTTCAAAGGGAGCAGCTGTCTCAATAGAGAAGAGAGTGTTTGTTCCTGTGTTTCTTGTGGTGTTCCAGTTTTGACCCCCCCCCCCCCACTCTTTTCCTACACATACCGGCTCCCCCCGGCATGCCCTTTGACCTTTTCCCCCTTGTATATATAGCAGCGCTGAGTGGCATAGTTCTCCTGGCGGCCAAAATGAAGGGTCTAGTCTCAGTCTGCTGCTTTCTCGCTGTGCTGGTCCTGGGGACGGCAGGTAAGGGACAATTCTGTCGTTGCAGAATTAGCAGAACATTTCCTTGTCACGTGCGGCACAGAACAGTCTACTTTTGTAAAAGAGCAGTTCTGAGGCAGGATGGTTGAGTCTCTGTTAACTCTTTGAGTGAGAAGTCCAGCTGAGTAGACATGGAGACCAAGGCAGTGACTCGAGGTTGGTTTCTAATACAATATCGGCGACAGCAGGAGTTATTTTCCTTTCAGGCTAGGAGACGTCTGTGCTCCTTTCAGACCTGTGAGCATTGTGGAGTGAGACAGGGGGATAGGAGAGATTCAATGACAATTGTCCGGTGGCAGGGTTATAATAGCGTCCGCCGTCAGTGAGGTTTAGTTTTCCACTATATTCTGCGGGATTTGACAGGGCAAGTTAGAAGAGGCTGATGCAAATGAAAGAATTGGGATTTTGGATTGAATAATGGTGCAGATGCACAAATGTTGTTATTGCCTTATGCCTTCATGTAAACCTAGAGCTAAGATCTGTATTCGTACAGCCGCACATACAGTAAATGTGCATAAATTGGTTTGGTCAGCTGTGCTGAGGTTCAGTGCCTGCGGACAGTGAGAGCCGTTACCACTGAGTCTGCTCTCCGCCTTTAAAGCAGATGCACTCTCCCTCATATGGGTAAATATACTGGACATCTTATCTCTAGCGTTGGGGGGGGTTAAGCACAACTCGAGTGTGGTCAGTAAGGGAATTTTTTTATTCCATTTCTTCAGAAAGCTGCAATTATTCAATCGGTCTGTTTCGAGGAGCGTTACCGTTTCAGAATCTTACTTTAAACATGTGTCCGTTGATGCGAGCCCCTCCCCATCTCCACCTCTCAGCATGTACAACGAAACATGCGCCGTGTCTTCCCTGCTCCATTGTCCTCGGTCGCACATTGCTGGCAGGGTTGTTACCCTTGTCTGTCCTTGGGATAATTTCTGTCCTGGCTTCTTCCCTGTATTCTGGTCTGCAGTCAGGTGGCTAATATTGGAATTTGCGCTGTAACTGGACACCCGAGTCCTCACCATTCTGTGCGCACACCCCCTACCCTTTAGCGCGCGGCACAGCTGCTGTCTCTCTGCACTGTCACAATCGCAATTTATTCCCAGCAGCTGGCCTTATAAGGAGATCCATTATCTTAACAGGAGGAGCCGTGCCCAGCCTTATCAGTCGTCCAGCCCAGAGCCTCCCACTGCCCCGGCCTAAACAGAGCTGTCTGATCGCACTATGGCAGGACCGCAGTGCCTCCACTCATCAGGAGGCCAAAGAGTCTTTCGGTTTTGGTGACATCAGCCTTACAAATTTCTCAATCGGACCACTTCCACCACCTGAAGTAGGAAAGAAATTTGCAAACGATTCAAAGAAACCACTCCAGTCATCAGGGCTCAACACGGTCTGGTGATTATGGAACAGTAACAGTTGGGGTTTTTTTTGCTCATTGGCCTCTCTTAATACATTTATGTGTAAGAATTGGAGGAAAATGCATGCAGAATGTTATTCAGAAAGGCTGGGCATCTCTGTGGGTACGGATTAGTAAAAACAAGCAATAATGGCCGACTGTGCAGGTGCAATGTGTATCAGGGTCATTGGGACTAGGATTGTATTTGATAGCCTGATACTGTGACTGTGATGAAACTGTAACTCCTGTAGTGTCCTGGGTGTCAGCAGGCCTGCCATAAAGTCAGTGAGAGATGTGCTGCTAGCCCTCCAGTAGGTCAATCTTTCTGTAAGGCATAGGAAGGCTTTCAGGGTGTCAAAAGATGAAGGACTCCATCCACCCATCCTTATTCTTGCTGGGCTGTAAGAGAGCTGTTGCTGTGAGCTAAGACGTAAAAAAAAGAGCAGACGATTCCCAAATCAAGTGAGGGCAAAATGATAACTACACAAGGTTGTTTAAAAACAAAGAATAAGCTGTGTTAAACTCCACAAGAGGATTAGCCTCCTGCAGTACTGATGCACCCAGGACAGAATAAAGTTACACACACTCTGCTGCTGAAGCACAAGCTGCCTGTTTCACAAAGACCTCTTCCACATGTGCCCACACACAAGGGTGGTGTCTCCTTCACATAGCAGAAGCTATATTAAACAGTGCCAAACACTGACTGTGAATTGGAATGTAACCATTAATGGAGTCATTGCATTACACTCCCCGAAGCTCGGCCATGCAGAGAATGTCTCATCGCCATCTTCTGCACTACCTGTTGTATAGACAGGGGGTGTCAGCACTTTGACAAAAAATACAATCTGTCCTGAATATGGGGGGGATCAAGAAATTTAAAAACAATTATATAAAGGCCGCCAAACATTCCGATCTCCTGCCTGTGACAACAGATGTTGTACACTCCATTAAAGAATAAGGACCTAGTTTTACAAGACCATAAAACAGCGCTAACATGCTGTCTGATCCAAGATAACACACATTTTAGCTATTACAGCTTCGGGAGGGTAAATATACACTTGGGCACCCTTTGTGCACAAGATGTCTGGATCAGAGGAGGATCCAAACACCAGTGTGATCCCAGTAATCTCTCCTCTGGCTGGAGGCTGTTTTCCATGCTTTAGTGAAATAACACGGAGGGTTTCGACACTGATACACAGAGATATTGTTAGGCACTCCTTGTTGATTGCTCAGATGAGAAATTGGGCATGCAAACATCCATTGCAGTAGAGCATCCAAGTCAAGCAGGACGAGGCCTGCCAAGCCTCCAGGCAAGAGCTTTGTGCTTCGTGCTTTCAACAGAGACTTCTGTTTGTTTTGTTAGTTCGGAGTCTGAAATCACAGGGGTCATCTTGATAAGAAGAATTGGTATCATTCTTTGTCAAGTCCGATTGCTCTTTTAATTGTTGTCTGGTCATTAGGTATCTTAGAGCTAGCTTTCTGAAACCTCGATGATTTCTCTGTGTTTGAAATCACTGAAAGCTAAAGAGAAAATGACCGATTTGCACCTAGAGCTTGTCATTTGGATCTTAGTTCAGCATCTCTTTTCTCTCCATATCTGACACAATTTCCAAAGTTTGATGAAAAGCAGTATCAGAAATCCGATTTTCACTTCTGACTGCCTCTGTTAAAGTGGTTAGATTGCGATCAGAGTTACACAAATGTCATGTCATGCAGTAGGTTTTTGTGCAATTGTGTTTCAATGGGAATATCTGTCCTTTCATTCTGATCAGGGAGCAGAAGTACACACAAGGTACTGTGCAGACGAATCAATGCATAATTCCGATCAGCTAGTCGTTCCTCGCCCTAATGCATTCCCAACAGATAAAACATGTTGGCACGTTTGAGCAGGGAGTCTATGCAAAATAAGGAAGCACTTTACATGAGTGAAAGGGTAGAGCAAGATCATGATTTTAGGCTACTGACAGAATCTAAAACATCCTTTTAAATGATTTGAATTTTGCAATGGTCTGCTGCATTGAAATGCTGAATCAAAGGTACTATCACTCTGGGGAAGGTTTAATGTTATTTTGTCTCAGTTTTGATCAACATGTTAAACCTTAATGTGTAGCTCCCTGAAGAATACAGTTCTGTATAAGGGAGATGGATAAATGAGAACTGTATTTTTACAGATTAGGGATGGTGATAAGTGATTTAAAAGCGCTGTTTGGAAAGATTATTTTTAATGTAGTGATTAAGGCACACAAATGGTTTGGGTAGTGCCTGGATTTATGTCGTTTTTGCCCTAGGTCCCTGAGCAGGAATTTCACAGATGTGATTTAAGTATTTATTCATAAATTCTAAGGTGCTGCCAGAGCTAGTAAATGCTTGCAGACAGCTGAACAAATAAACTGCTGTGGTGTTTACAGAAAGCCATATCTCTGCTGTTGGGTGGCTGCTGTGTTTCCAGTATTTCTATTGACATTAGGAAGGAAAGACTTTAAAGGAATTGTGCACCTGTTCTTTTGTCCTTTCTCACTCTTTAATTTAGATTTCACCACTGCATAGGAATGTGTATGATATATGATCAATCAGTGCAGATCAGTGAAGGGTGTCCGATGATGTGCAGGCTTCAGGACTCACATGGTAAAATAATTTTCGCCTGAATTATCACATGATGTACTTCATTACATTGGCACGGTTTATAATGGGGAAAGACAACAATGGCAAATTGTTAAATATATGCAGGCGTCTATCCATGACTAGATTTCACTCTTGCATTGCCAGGCGTCTAATCCGTGTCTTCATCTGGCATCAATGAGTTCCTGTGTACTCTAGGTCAGCAGTTATACTCCCATACCCATACCAGTGGAAAGGCTCTAGCCTGAGCAAGGCTGGGCTTGTCCAGTCCTTGAATGGGAGACTAGGGAAAGCCCAGGTTGCTGCTGTAAGTGGTGTTGGTGGACCAGTAGGCGGCACTGTCGGCATTCTCACAGGACCAGAATATCCACACCTCTGCAGTAATAGGTGCCATCCTTCAGATGAGAGATTAGTTCTGGCTACTTGGTCATTAAGGATCACATGACACTGTTCATGTAAACAGAGTGCTAATTACGGGGTCCTGGCTAAGTGCTGCTCCAGACTTCTATTTCTGTATGTAATGCTATATTAATGCATATTTATTATTATCTCTTAATAACAATCTGCTAATAATTCCTTGCCCTGTTTGGAGCCAGACCAAGGATATCTAGTCTGCCAAAGCTTCACATGATGTCAAGGAACTCATTGACCTTGAACAGACTCAGCCTGGGGCAGGTCCATGTTGATATCTTATGGTGTATTGGATACCATGAGCTGTCAAGAGCTCCTTCAAGAGCATTTAACAGTGACACATAATTTTCACTCACTTTGGGTTGTTCTTAACCTTAAACAATACTAATTGCTTACACTTATATCGCGCTCCACTCAAAGTGCTTTACATTTAATGGGGAATCCCACAGCTACCACCAATGTGCAGCACCAACCTAATAACAATAAAATCTGTGCTTGTTTAACATTCCTGTTTTTCTTTAACTGCGAGTGGCACTCATGGAGTATTTGTAGTCATGAATGTACG